GACATCGTCAAGCATGATCTCGAGAGCTTAGAGTTCAACATTTATCACACTTGGATGAAGGTACTGAAGAAGAAGTTGCAGAAGATGATCATTCCAGCTATCATCGAATCGCAATCACTTCCAGGTTTCGTCACCAATGAAAGCAACAGATTCTTGGGTAAATTGCTTCAAACAAATTCAGCACCTGCCTTCAGCATGGACAACTTGCTTAGCTTGCTCAACAACGTTTTCAAAGCTATGAAGGCATACTATTTGGAGGACTCAATCATAACCCAAACAGTCACCGAATTGCTCAGGTTGGTTGGTGTCACCGCATTCAATGATCTTTTGATGAGAAGAAACTTTTTGTCGTGGAAGCGAGGACTCCAAATCAATTACAACATTACAAGAATCGAGGAATGGTGTAAGAGTCACGATATGCCAGAGGGAACACTGCAGCTAGAGCACTTGATGGTAAGTAACATTGTGTATTTCTAGTAAAACCATATGCTAACATGTTTATAGCAAGCGACCAAACTACTCCAATTGAAGAAGGCCACTCTTAACGATATCGAGATTATTCAGGATATCTGCTGGATGCTCTCACCTAATCAAATCCAGAAGTTACTTAACCAATATCTCGTCGCTGATTACGAACAGCCCATCAACGGAGAAATCATGAAAGCTGTCGCTTCTCGCGTAACTGAAAAGAGCGACGTATTACTCTTGGCTGCCGTTGATATGGATGACAGTGGGCCATATGAGATCGCCGAACCTCGTGTCATCACAGCCCTAGAAACATATACCCCTTCATGTAATCATTCCCCCATATTTGTAAACATTCATTGCTAACAAGGACCTAGGGCTCCAAACTCCAAGGCTAAAGCGTCTAGCAGAGATCGTTTCTCAGCAAGCCATGCAACAACAGGAAAAAATGGAATATACTCAGGATGATATTGCTGAGCAATCAGACAACGAGGAGGCGAACAGTGCTTGATTGCGGGAACAATTACGGTCCCGTTATCTAATGCAAAACTTCTTACCTTCTTCTGTACCATTTTCACACCCACGAAATTAAGATCTTTTCTGCCATGGCTTGGAGAGCCTTTTGTATATGGCATTTGAGATCCTTCCAGCATTTGCACGACCTTGGGGTAGCATGAAATCTTGATTGTTAGCGTATATTTTTATATCTTTGGAGGCGAGAACGGGGGACCAAAAGATTTTTTCTTCTTTTGTAGATTTGATAGCACGAGATTTTTCTGAAGTGCAATCGCGTACAATCTCCCAATTAGGCGTTGGAAGTTACTTTAATACTCTTGCTTTTTCACTTGCGATTTTTCAGTCACATCTTTCGGTTCTCTTTTTTTCGGCTTCGTCTTTTAGGGTTATGATATGGGAACAAGATAAGACAAACTGAGATGATTGATATTAGACGATGATATGAAAAGATAAGATGAGATGAAGATCACTAGAAGAAATCTTTTTTCACGAAAAAGATTAGGAATGAGTGGGTTGTTACTTTATTCACGTGGTTTCTGGGGCGAATTTTTTGATAGAAATGTGAAATGAGATGATTGAGATGATCAAATTTTGACGAGAAAACAGACAGCCATATGCGATCTAGAATGTGTTTTATAGGTTGTGTGCTTGTGTGATGGATTGAATTTGTCGATGTATCCTTCAGTCCACCGGTGGCTTCGTAAGTTATTTGAGCTTAGCGGTAGTAGTGTGTGCTCCTGTCGTCACTCGTAGCTTGGATTCTCCTTCCTCTCGTCACTTTATGTACGCATCGCCGTCGCCGTCATGTTTTGTCATTTTACATCATTCCCCTTCTCCTTGGTTATCGCATCACCATCTTAGCACCCTGTCTACAAAGTGTAGAGGGTGTATACTCTCGAACTTTGAGTCTAACTTCTTTCTGCTTTTCCTTCTCCTTTCTGGGCTTTATATATCCATTCGAGGTTCAAGGGAAAGTAATAATTTGGCTTTGGCAAAAACTGCGTTATTTGACCATTGAAAGAAATCTTGATGTTAATTGTAGCGGGTGCTTCCTCTGGTCCGGTCGGTTGATTCTTGTTTGTTCTTGTAAGGGGGGTGGGTGTGAGAGATCTTTCGTTCATTGGGATGAGGATGATATCTTGAGCGCTGACTGAACGAGAGGGTTTAGGTGAAAGCTAATAATTGGTAGTTACTATCTCAGTAGCGGGTTTGTTACATTTAATGTTTTTGATCACAGTTCAATAGGTAGTCATCCATCGCTGTATTCAAATTGAAATTCTCGTCGCTATCTTCCGCGACACCCTTCCTTTACCATTTTTAATCACAAGCTAAAGTCCTCTATCTCAGCCTCAATCAAAGCTCTCTCCTCTTGATCCTGACCCTTGTTTCTTTATCCGGCAAACACACCGCACTGGTTTTCACCATCTTAGGAATCGTCCATTTACCCTTCTTCTCCCCTTTCTTCGCAACGGGTCCGATGTCCCAATACATAAGAATCCCAGCCACGAAAGCCAGACATTCTCGCTCGGCATATACGCGTCCTTTGCACATACTGGGTCCGCCACCATAGGGACGGATAGTTTGGAGGTCGACGGATGTGTTTCCTGTTTCATCCGTGGTGAGGAAACGCTCGGGGTTGAATTCGGTGGGGGAGGGGAAGTATGAGGGGTCGCGCATGTGGAGGTCGTGGGGGAGGGTAACGTATTCATTTTTGTGGAGCGTGTAAGTAATTTTGTCAGTGTCCTTGCCGGATGATGCATCGGTGAGGGTGATGTCGTTTTCCAGTTTTCGAAGAGATACGGGTTGGGAAGATAATCGTGAGGCCTCTAGATAGGTGGATTTGAAAAGGGGACATTTCTTGGATAGATCTTCGTGAGAGAGGTGGATGTGTGGAGCTTCTGAAATAGAGCCGATTTTCTCGCCAGGGGTTACGGTTGCATAGGGGGAGATCTCGGCGCGGATTTTGTCGGCGAGCCCGGGGGTGGAGAGGATGTAAAGGAGGTGCCAGTAGACGATGAGGGTAGAGTTCACTATGAGAGCCCAGATAACCTAATGACAATGTTAGATAGTGACTTAAGAGGTGGAGGAGATGTGAGCTTACAGATATATCTCCACGCTCTTTCGGTTCTAGGCCATGTTCTACCATAATGTCAGTTGTTATAAGGATAAAGTTCTCTGTAATCTTACTTCTAAACAATTCATGTCTTTTGAGGATGAAGTCGCTAACGTCATCTAAATCACCCCATGAAGAGTCCATTTGCTTCCCATCTACTGAAGCATCAAGAGCCTCTTGAAATTTGGTCATACTTTGTTGAATTTGGGAGCGAGAATAATGAGCTCTAGCAACAGCAGGCCAAGGAGTGAACCATGGAAGGCCCATGATGAAATACATCATACCGCGATCCATTTCATAAATATCGTGCAGGACATGTGGGTTATTATCCAAAAATTCACGTCCGAAAAGAGATGGTACAGAAGCATGCCCAAGTAAATCTCGTACCAAGGCCATAAGATCAACCTCCATTTCGTTGTTTGAAATGTACTCCGCATTGGCCCATTTCTCCCACGGATGTTGATCTATCTCACTGTCCATGAACGAAACCATCTGCGGGATTAGTCCTTCAAGATTGCGTATGGTTTTGTCCAGCATGCTACTTAGATATGGTTCTTTCATGAGATAAGTGAAAATAGACGTGTATTCCTTGTGACAATATTTAGCTTGGTGTAGTGATTAAAATGAAGCAGTCTTACCTCCCAGTTGTCCATATACACCTTCTTTGCCTTTTTGGGTAGTCCAAAAAACTAAGAGGTTTATTAGCAACACAAGCCATGCCAACTCATGGTTTTCAATTTTGTGATAGTGAAGTACCTACCTTCGTTGATAGATCCAACGCAACAGTTTTAAATGCAACATCTGATTCCCGTTTCTGTAGTACTCTAATACAACATTAGTGATCCTGGATATGAATGTGCCCTCGCTCATATACTTACGCCTTTACCAAGTTTGGATTTGAGACTATAATGATCAGTTTTTGTATAGCTACTCGGAAAATGCAAGCGACTTACTGATATTATGGGTAGAGCCTCCAAGATTAAGCGCAAATATACCTAGCTCAATATATCAGTACCTATGTAACATTTAAAGATTGTATTGCAATACTCTCAGTTATAAATTATGAGAGTAGAGAATTCCCCTTTTTGGCCAAACTCACCATGGGCACTTTGGTCTCTATGCATTTGTTAGCATCTATCCTATACAGCCATAATCCAGTATTCTAACTACCTTAATTCGCAAGCCAACTTCTCTCCATTCGTCAAACTATCTTTTCATCAGTCTCGAAATCCCACTACCCCTATACCTATATGGCACGTGAGACGTACAATGCAACCACATGTCCCAACCCTGGCACCCAATAAGCCGGCATCCAAACCGATTTTCCATCCTTCCCCTTTTGCTTTTCCGACGGCCTCTCGCTCAGTAGTCTAGTTGCTACAATCAGAAGTGCCGGTGCTAAAGCGATACTAAGAACAATAGGCAACGGCACCGAACGAATAATTGTGAGGGCATTTGTAATCAAACCTCCGGATTTCGAGGTGTCAATGGCATCGGTGGAATTCGTGAGGGGCTGATAGAAATCGTCCATGATGGAAGATAAACTATTGTTGAAAGATGAGGTTGATTGAGTAATATATCATCACCTTACTTATTAGCTAGGAGTTTTCGGTGTGGTTGTTAGAGTCTATCGATGCCGCCAACAGTTTTTGTGGATGTGGTGTGGTTGCGGTGCTGGGATTGCACGATCCACATTCGCCAATGCACTACTTTTTGACCGGATGAGTCGAAGCTCCGTATATGGATATCATAATATAATTCAAGGATAGGAATTTGAAGGGACAACATTTTATAAAACCCAAGATTTTATTCTTTTTGCTTCCCTTTTTGAACGTCAACTCTAACACGCTCATTCATCAATAATCACCTTTCCTGCATCAGGAAAATCTTTACATCTCCATTCATCATGGCTCCTCCCAAAACCCTCAATTTCATCACCGGCAACAAAAACAAACTTGTCGAGGTGAAAGCTATTCTGGGTGATACCATTGACCTTCAAAGTCAATCTCTCGACCTCGTTGAGATCCAAGGGACTATTGAGGAAATCTCCAGCGACAAATGTCGAAGAGCTGCAGAAATTGTGTGTTTTCATGTTCCCCAGCCTTGGGAGTGTTGCTAATATCGAATATAGATTCAAGGTCCAGTGCTAGTTGAGGATACATGTTTATGTTTCAACGCATTAAAGGAATTGCCTGGTCCATACATGTAAGACTCCCCGGTCAAGAATTACATTGAGAGTGCTCTGGTCACTAATAATGGGCAGTAAATGGTTTATGGATAAAATAGGTCATGATGGACTGAATAATATGCTTGCTGGATTTTCAGATAAATCTGCACAAGCAGTGTGTACATTTGCCTATTCTGAAGGTCCGGGTCATGAACCTATTATCTTTCAAGGAGAACAGACGTGAGTATCTTCCCATATTCCTGCGTGCCGTTGTATGGCTCTAACACTTCCCAGGGCAAGATCGTACCTGCAAGAGGTCCAGCTGCATTTGGTATGTTCTACTACACCACTAAAAAGACCTCTTTTTACTAATATTCCTTGACTCATAGGTTGGGATCCTATTTTCGAGTATGAAGGTCAAACGTAAGACTCTTTCCTATTCCATTTTGTGTTTTCATTCATCATATCACATATATATTGACTCCGCCCCTTTAGATACGCCGAGATGGAGAAAGTTGAGAAGAACAAAATCTCTCATCGTTTCCGAGCACTCGAGAAATTGAAGACATGGCTGCAAGAAGAAGCATAGAGTCCAGTAAACAGAGGAAAAGGAATGGAGTGACAGATAGATAGTGCTCTCTGAAGCCAAAAAACACTTCAGGGACTGAGCAACAATAATCCATGCCTACAAAATATCACTGCTCATCCTCCGCGTGATCCTTCTTCCATTGTTTGACCCATGCCTCAACCCTCTTCACATTACTCTCCACCTCATCACTTGTATCACTCCGTAGCTCCACCACAATCTCCTCGTCATAACTCTCTCTCGCCTCATCAAGTAGAACCTCCATAATTTCCGCATCTAGATTCTCTTGTAGTTTGGCTTCTGGATAATTTCTATATTTGGACTAGAGTCAGCTTTCTCGACCATCGCTCCCCATCGTTGCTACATCTCCATGCAGTCTCTATCCGCATAAATTTAGAGGGAACATACCTCGCCTTCAGCCGATCATACAACAGCGTCGAATCCACCCTCAACACAACCACTAAATCAATCCAACTTTTCGGAAATAATTCGCAAGCATGCCAGTCGATGATGTAGCCGCCTTGCTTGACATCTTCTTCTATTTCATCCCGTAACTATAGATTCCCAACAATTAGCCAAAACTCCTAATAAAGTCTCAATAATCCATTGAAATGGATCTTCCGTCAAGCTCGCAAAGAAATCAAACCAACCTTATCCTCATCCACAATCCATGTCTTCAACTCATCATCCCAGCCCTCATGACACCCCTTCTCCTTAACCACATCATTGACACTCAAATGTTTCAATCCGGTACTCTCAGCCAATTGTTCGCAATGGGTAGTTTTTCCCACACCAGGCGTACCTGTTATTATAATATTTGGCTGTGTGCGCATAATGACGAGTTTGTGAAATTGCGAACTTGGATCTTGAGAGCTTGAGATTCAAGGATTACTTGACTTTCGCTGGCAGGTATCTCAAAAGGTATTCGAATAAACAGAGTGATGTGCCCTTGAGTCTTGGAAGATTCGGTTTGGAAGTATTTATGACAGAGTCTCGTATTTCAAATTGTGCAGAATGCGACTTGATGATGTTTGCGCTGGAGAATTGGGGAAAGCTTGTGATACCTCCGCGATAACTGTTTTTCTCTTGGCATCAACTTTTTGGAAAAAAAATCTTATCGCAAGAAGCGGGGGCTTATCAGCACGTGCCATTAGCGGGGAGAGATCGGGATGGGATGGGTACAGAAGCTTAAAATAGATAAGGGGTAGGTGGGATTTATGCGGGAGTACTAGGAAGTAGCTTCGAGTGCGCTTTAATGAAGTCTAAAGAGCTTGCAAGTGGAGTTTGTACTGATTTTGTAATGTCATTACTATTGTCATAATTTGAACATTGCGATAAATAGTCAGGTCATCATTTGTGGTTAAATTTCTTATTGGAATATTCTGCATGTAGTTTGCCATTGAGAAATCATGCGAAGCAAGCTGATCTGCTCAAATTATTATTTACTCGATGCAGGTATGAGTTTCGTTGATATCCAGGTCCACCAGGTTCACTATTCATAGACTATAACATCTCGCATTGCTGTTTCTTATTCTTATTCTTACTCCTCCGCTGTAGGCTTATACATGATTGTTGTGACATACTGCATTGCGAATTAGTACATAATATAAATTGGTAAAGACGCTCCCGTACCTTTCGCTTATATCTCGTAGTGGCAGAAACAGCAAGAACATTGTTCTTAATGCTGCTCGTAGCTAGATGATTGAGAACAGTATGGTTAGGCATAATGAGAACACTATTATCATCCTTCATCGGTGCATTGGCATTCAAGATAGGTTTTCCCAAAAATCCTGGGAGAGTAGGTGGAGGAGGCAATTTGTCTATAGCAGCAATTGCGTACCGGTATTCCCTGGAGTCTTCGGGTTTATCCATATCTATGAGGTATTGTGGAATTTCTGAAGTAAATTGACTCTGGGAGATTGCGCGCTTCATCTTGGAGACTGGCTTCGGCTTCGTCCTCTCTTCTGCAGGCACTGGCTCGGGCTGGGTGATTTCAGGCTTGGTTTCCGAACCTCCAATTGGTTCGCTAGGTATATTTACAGAACCCTCATCGGTAGGCAGGTCATCGGCGCTGACTTCGATGTAATTGACTAGATTGTTGCCAAAATCGACGGTGGTTGGAAGAAGTGCTGAGCATTTCATAATACCATCTTGAATAAATCGAACGTGGTGAGTGCCGGGTCGTACATGAATTATCGCTTTCAAAAGTCCCGGCTCTCCTTCCCTGGGAAATGTTAGTGTACCGTAAAAACCTTGGAGTTCAAGGGGTTCATTGGAAAGACTAGAACTCACACTGCACTCAATCTTTGCTTCTTATTCCACTGAAATATGGTTCCAGTTACATAAACTTTCTCTCCACCTTCTCTCCACTCGAATAAGGTTGGTACCGTTGCCTTGGTCCGATCGATTTGAATTTCCTCGGCGTCCTCTTCGTCTATTGTCGTACTACTCAATGCCGAATTCCGTCTTGCAAGTGGTGGTTCATTGTCCAGAGCATCTATATCTATAGCTGGGGCGATCGAATCAGCCGGTGTGACTAGAGGCGACCCTGGGGTGTGCACTTCCTCCTCAATTGGCAGTGGAAGCCTCGGAGGTCGCGAAAGATGATACGACATATCTTGAATGGGGGGACCAGAAGGGTCGACAGATGTGGCTTGGGGGCTCGATAGGGAATGTGAATGGGATCTGGACGTTGCAGGGTCGTAATTGGAGGATGGCATGGGAACATCAACTGGCTTGGTGGGCTGATCTCTCACGGCGATCTTTTCTGTCTCTGGTTCATGTCTATGTGATTGCAAGCCTGCTTGTGGTTCTCTGTCATGCGCCGAAGGTGTATTCACTCCCGAATTCGGCAAAGAATTATTGAATTGTGCAGCAGGGTGTGATTGGGAATTGCGCGGGCGGTGTGTGACATTCGATCCGTGAGCCTGTGCAAGAGAAGGTTCTGCTCTCGCAGCAGTCCTATGCGTGTGTATCAAATTCCTTGGATCTCTGCGAGCTGAGGATGTTCTTGACGAGTCATTACTGTTGCTCGAAGGCGCGGGAGAATGCGAATGAGGTGTGGAAGCAGTTGGCCTCGTGTTGGTAGAAGGTGTATTTCCCATTATGACAATGGTCGTGTTATTCTAACCAACGCACTCAAAAAATGATTCCTTTCCGGGGGGTGAGAGCCCTTTAAAGAAAAAGAAAGACAGAGGGTCGAGGGGAACGGCCTGTGGAGCAAAGCTATCTCATGAGTTGTAAATAAGTATTTTTGGATTATGGTTTGAAATGAATGTATTGTTCCACGAATCTGGATGACCTGTGCTTGTTAAAGGGTATCTTAGAAATAATCGAAATTTGAGCTTGAGGGTTTAAATACAATAAATAAAATTGGGATGGTTCTTTCGTGGAAAAGATTCTGGAGTGAACCTTGGAAGTTGAATCCTTCCTAAGGTTTGTTCCTTCAACCCCACAATCAGCTTTATTGAAGACCAACCCACAAAAATTGCGACGATGCTTTGAATCCTTGTTACACACTACACTCACAGTAGCTGACTTGGTCTGTGCCTTCATCAAAGCTTCCAAGGTTCTTTCATTCTTCTGGTGTTCTATTGTTCTATTCCTCCCTTCTTTCCTCCATCACACATCAGTACAGAGGTAATCGTGGTATTACCTAAATGCTTGTAGTCCTATTCAATCAAACATCACTATCACCACTCATTTGCAGCAAAAACGTTCCCGTGAAGGCTTAAACTATGAGAACTTTCAAGAATATTCCGAGTTCTACTTATAAGCATTAGATCATACGACATAGGTGTAGGACAGATCTTATCCGTCAGCCTTGCATCTTCCTGTCATTTCAGACAACCCAGTCATTATCCGTTATGGAACTCTCAAATACAGCATGGCTGTCGATTATAGGAAGCACTTTTCATTACATTTCCCTGCCAGTTATTGTTATTTCCAACTGGCTATTGGCTATTCTTAGGATTGCGCTGGCCCCACTGCTACATTTGGGAAACTCTTTGATTTCTGCTATGCTTCTTCCTCTAAAAGTAGTGGCGAAATTCGAGGCAAGCTTGATGCAATAACAAATTGATGGATTGTAGCTAACAGTTATCAGACCATCATCATATTCTTGGGGTCTGCAATCGTCATCGGCTTGATCACAGGTTCGTTGTTACGAGTTTCCTCCAGCATACTCGCATCACTGTTCAAATTGACATCAGGCCCTGAAGACACAGATCTTTCTGTGGCATCGGTACGCGCCGCACGAGAACATAAGAAGAAAAACTCGAAACCGGATCCATTGAAATGGAAGGTCGACCCTTCTGTAGAGAAGAGATATTCCGGATGGCTGGAAAAGGACGGAGGCAGAAAGAAGGACGAGCACGGGCTATCGGCGCAGATCATAATTGAGGAAGATGATGACTCCGATGATGGATTTTAATCAGAGTAGGAGCAGCGATATGCAATTATGTGCAACCCCTCTTGAGAAGACAGGATTAAGTTCTTGATATATTATTCAATCTCTCCATTTGACAAAGACTTGATCTGTTCTGAACCTCTGAGTACATGTGCTCTCTTCCAGTGGAGTCCTGAAGCCAGTTTCGTACGCCAAAAGTCCAGCCTGTGCTATCATTATACCATTATCGATGCAGAAACGTTCGTCGGTTGCGAAAACGCTTCCTCCCCTATCTCTTGCCATCAACCCCATCATTTCTTGTAGCCTCTCATTGCAACCTACGCCTCCCACGATGAGGACTTGGTTGCTCCCTACATGAGCCATAGCTCGTTCTGTGATCTCCACCAGCATCGCATACACAGTTTCCTGCAGGCTGAAACACAAATCTGACGTGGTAATAACTTCTCCAGTGATCGGGTCTTTTTGCTCTGGGTTCGCCTTGAGTTCCGCCGCGAGTATATCAATGCTTGCCAAGATTCCAGAGAACGAACAGTCCATTCCTTTGACTGCATATGGCAGATCTAGCAACACCTTTCCCTTCTTTGCTAATTGTTCG